AACATGTGGTGGTCCTCTTTCTAGCGCCCAGGTGAATAGTGCATGCGGCGTAATCCCAAGAGACTTCGTGCTCTACGAGGAAGTCATGTCCTAGTAATACGTCGCAATACAGTTCATCCATTATGGTCGCTTCGAAAGGGATGGTGAGGTCCCCGATTTTGGCTTCGAAGGCGGCGGTACCACTTGTGGAGGTGGTGTGTCCATCCGCCATTCTAACCAGTGTGGGTAGTCCGTTTATGGGTGATCCGAATTTACGGGCTATGGTTGGGCTTACATACGATTTTTGGGCCTGTGAGTCTAGAAGCGCTGTTACGAAGCCTGACCTAAATTCGAGTTCCACTGCTGGAGTCGGGATTTTGTCGGGGCATGTTCGTTTAGCGTTTCCAAACGTGGGGGACTCATACGAGCGGGGCAAGTAGTTCTTAACCGCGACGGTGGGTCTTTGGTGAATGGGGCGAACCGCCATTACCATGACATCCTTGTCGATTACCTCTGTGCTCGGAGACCGCACCACTGGAGCAGGCGAATCTTCCGAAAGGGGGGGACACGCGTGATTTGTCCTTCCCTTGTTGTTTTTGGTGACAACCGTTCCTTTCCCTATTACCTTTGTCTCTACACCTAAGACTTCCCCTGAAGCCGGTTGTGTACCACATTTGGGGTGGTACGTGTGAATGGGGTGGTGTAGGTTTGGGATTTGAGGGACGCAGCCGACTTGTTGTTGTCGAGCGTACGTTGGAACGTCGGAAATTGTGATGGAGGCCGTGGTGCTTTGGGCAACCACGGGCGAAATGACGGAGGATATTTCCGAAGACGACTGTTCGGTAATCGTTGGTCCAGTAGTCGACTTAGCCGACTTACGGTACGATTTGCCTGGGAGGTGTCTGTTGGTAATATACCCGTCCGTAATGCCAAATGGTGGTGTGTGTGTGCCTTGTAAATTCGAATAGGTGGTGTGGAGTTGTGTGGAGGTGGTAGGGAGGACTAATCCCTTCCGCCTCCCCCGCCGTTTCCCGGAGACGACGGTTTGTGTGGGCACTCACTGTGCTAGTGTGACCCCCCGCAGTATCTACACGGTCTCGGTGGAGGTTTACTTTCCGTGGTGGTGCGGGTGGGTGGTGTGTTTAGGGGCCGGGTCGCCTGTAGGGGACCCTTCTTCCCTTGAGTTCTGTGTGCTCGATCCGGTGTGCGAGCGGGTGGGTTCGTTGCGGGAGCCAGGATTGCGACTATTCGACGTAGCTCGGCAAATGTCGCTGGCCGCTGCAACCGAACGTGGGTCCGGTATTCGTCGCGCATTAGGCCCGCAATTATACCTACTAACTGTGGCTCAGATAGACCGGTATTAACGCGGCGCGCTAATTGGTTTTTCGCGAGGACGAATTCGGACGGGGTTTGATTTTCGGGCTGTCGCGCAGAAACTATTTCTGCCCGTAACTGGGCCTGAATTTCGGCGTTGTCGAAATTTTCTAAAAATTCGGACCGAAATTCATGCCAGGACAGGTCCAGGATTTTGATGGAGGTCCACCATTTTCCGGCTGTCCCTTTTAGTTGCGGTTCGACTGCCCTTGTCCAACCCGCTGGTGGGATTCTAGCCTGTCCTAGGATCGATTCAGCATTCTCCAAAAACCGTACGGGGTCCTCCGCCTTCGTTCCGGAGAACTTGGGTAGGGATGCTCGCGCTGCACGCAAATCCTCATACGGAATGAGTACTGAACGTTCGGGGACATAGAATGTCGGGGCGGTTAGCCGGTCTGAATGGTACACGTCCGCGAAGTGGACCGATCGATCATGTTGATCGTGTTCGATTTGTGCGTCACGGTTAACGTCGTACCATGAGGTGGATGCGTGTGGAGGTCGTGTTGCATCTCCGACTTCGCGGCTGTAAGTCCGATTCGTGTCGTACAATTGTACGTCGGGTACCCGTCCGGTGCTATGGAAAAGGGGGGCTGACATGGATTGTCTACCTATCTGGTCCCACTGTTGGTCCTCCCTAGTCCGTTTGTGTGAGGGCTGCGGTTGATGCGTCGGTTCGGTCTGCTCGGATCTCGATGCCGGTATGCCGAGTTCGATGCGTCTGATGCTCTCCGCAATCCAACGGCTGTCGTCGAAATGGCGGGTCAGACAGTCTTCGAGAATCGACAACCGTGTTTCGAGTGACGGTTGTTTCGAACTATCGCGTGCGGATTGACGAATTGCTTTTATTTGTTTGTGTGCGGTCTGAATGGTGTCAGTCGCATACGAACTCGCGTTAAAGTCGAGTAAGTTCGAGTGTGAGGTGCCCGGGTCGCTTTGAGCTACGGGGTTGTGGTGTCCTTGCGGATTACCGACCGCCCTTTCGCTCAGCGCGAGGTCCTGGGTGCCTTGCTCGTCATCACTTAGTGCCTCGATCGCACTCGACGATTTTATTGAAAATCGGATACGACCGGGCTCGACGTTTTGCGACAAAAAAAATTCGTTTAAACGCGTTTCCAAGTCCGCCTTGGTGCCTGTGGTGGATAGCCCGCGCGTCTCACATTCGTAACGCAGTTCCTTCAA